ATAGATTAGGGAAGAATAGACAAGTTCTTATCTTTTCTAGCACCTTGGTGTTTCCGGCTTCCGGTAGGGAGCTGACCTCACTATTTAGAGCCTGTGCTTGTCCAGGAAGCCATTTTGCAAATACCTGAGGGCCTCCTTCCTTCTCTGTTCCAGACACTGTTTCCTCATTTTTTCCTAAAGTTAACATATCCTTTGAGCACTGGGGAAGACTGATGTAATATTCGGCTGGGAAGCTAAGAGCCTGACCCTTGCTTCTGGTCTAGCAAACTTCTTGTCTTGCATGTACCTTATAGGACATTACTCTTGGGTACGTTTTGGCTGCAGGTTCCATAAATTCTTCTTCGTTGACTCAAAACATAGAAAAAAATGATCTCTCATCACAAGAAGCCCTGGGTAATGCACTCCAGGCTGGTTTATTCCAGGGCTCCAGGTTCTATTGTTTTTTTGTTTTTTCCTCCATCCCGTCTGTGTCGGTGTCAGCTTTGTCCTCTGTGGGCTCAGATGGTGGCTGCACACGGCTGCTGTGGTCCCAGTCCACAGTGTGATGCACAGGACTGTCTTTTTTTCTCTTTCCTTATAAGAGCAAAGAAAATTTTACCAAAATCTGCCTTCTCTCCCTGCTCCCCAGAGCCTCCTTTCATTTCTCATTGGCCAGAACTGTGTTCTAGGTTCATGCCTAAACCAATCCCAAGGTCCTCCGCTTCTGATCTTTTGGCTAGAAAGCTCGGGTTTTAGTTTCCCCACTCTGCTACCTACTTACTGTGACCCTGTCTGCATCCGGAGCCATGAGGTGAGTGAATAGGTAGAGAAAAGCAAGCAAACAAAAAAACCGTGGGGTTCTCTTCTCTGTTCCTCCTCTTACGCAGGTTTTGGACTGGCTTTGAATCTGGGTTCAGAGATACTAAAGAATAAAACAAGGAAACTCATCTTTCTTTCTTTTTTTCTTTTCTTTTTAAAGATGGTTCCTTTAAACTCTGGTTTCCTTCCCTCATCTCGGCTAGCATTTATTTTTCAGAATCCTCAGATGATGGCTCCATGCCTTCTTTCCTTGCAGATGTCACCCAGGGTCCTGGAGGGACAACTGGATTGTTTCCAAACCCAAATTTCCAAAGGAAACATTCATGTCTGTCCTGGCTCATGTGGCTGAGAAGTGGCAGAACCAGGAGCCATCCTTGGTCTTCCGGGACGAGGCCCCTAGTTGTCACACTACCTCATGCTGCCTCTGAGTTCAGATCAGGCTTGGTTCCTCCTCTTTCCTCTCTTCAGGGTTATGTTGCCTTGTGATATCAGTCTACAAAGACATGTGCTTCTCTTGCGTCTCTCATCACCTCTCTGGGATTTTCCATTGATTGGTCCATAAGATCTAAGGAGAATGTTCTTTTTTAATTTTCCAATTCTTTTTATTTGTTCTAATTAGCTATACATAATAGTAGAATATATTTTGACATATTATATGGAGTGTAACTTCTCATTCTTCTCCTTGTACATGATGTGTAGTTACATTGGTTATGTGACCATATATGCACATAGGATAGTAATGTCCAATTCATTCTATTCTCTTTTCCATTCCCGTTTTCTCTCTCTTCCCTTTATGACTCTTCTTCTAATGCAAAGTACTTTTATTCTTCCCTAACTGCCCCCTTCATTGTGAAATTCACATCAGCATATCAAAGAAAACATTCAGCTTTTGGTTTTTTGGGAATTGGCTTATTTCACTTAGATGATATTCTCCAGTTCCATCCATTTATAGGCAAATGCCATAATTTTGTTCTTTTGGGCTGGGGTTGTGGCTCAATGGTGGAGCATTTGCCTCGCACTTGTAAGGCACTGGGTTCCATCCTCAGCACCACATAAAAATAAATAAACAAAATAAAAATATTGTGCCTATCTGAAACTAAAAAAAACATAAAAAAAAATTTTGTTTTTTTTTTTTTAAGGCTGAGTAATATTCCATTGTGTACATATACTACATTTCCTTTAACTATTCATCTGTTGAAGGGCACTTAGGTGAGTTCATAGTTTAACTATTATGAATTGAGCTGCAATAAACATTGATGTAGCTGAGTCACTGTAGTATGCTGATATTAAGTCTTTTGGGTATAGGCTAAGGAATGGGATAAGTTTTCTAAGGAATCTCCATATTACTTTCTAGAGTGGGTGTACCAATTTGCAGTCCCACCAGCAATGTATGAGTGTGCCTTTTCCCCCATATCCTCCCTAACATTTATTATTACTTGTGTTCTTTATAATTGCCATTCTGATTGGAGTGAGATGGGACCTCAGTGTAGTTTTAATTTGCATTTCTCTAATTGCTAAGGATGTTGAATGTTTGTTCATATATTTTTTGATCATATTTCTTCTTCTGTGAAGTGTCTGTTCAGGTCCTAAGTCCATTTATTGATTGGGTTATTTGTGTTTTTTTTTGGTGTTAAGTTTTTATGAGTTCTTTACATATCCTGGGGATATGTATCTGAGATACGGGTGGCAAAGGTTTTTCTCCCATTCTGTAGGTTCTCGCTTCACATTATTGATTGTTTCCTTTGCTGTGAAGAAGCTTTTGAGTTTGATTCCAGGGAAAAAGTTCTTATAGAGCCATATGAGTGAGAGAACATCACTGGTCATTGTCCTAGCCTTTTGCATTGAGTAAGGCTCTCTCAAAAAGGGTATCTAGAAAACAGTTTGTGTTAGTGATTCATAAGCCTTAGGATATAAGCCTGGAGTATTCTCCCAGAGAATTAAATATATACTACTGTCAGTTATTTAAGATTTTATTTGAGTATCAAAATAAGTATATATTATGGGGTAGAATATAAGAATTGCATTACTTTCAGGCTTAAAGCATAAAAAAGGTTGAATGTGAGGCAGGAAAGTTGCTCCTGAGACCATCAAGTTTCCTGACTCCAGACCAGGTTCCAAGTATCAGCAAAAATCATGGTAAAGGACTGAGTTATTGAGGAATGTCAGGTGAATCATGACTCTGCAGTCAGTGTCCTTGTGCCTGGGTTGAGGAGCTTGAATGGGAACCTTCTGGAAGCACTGATGTCACTGCTATTCCTCGCTGGACAGCTTTGCTTGCCTTCTATCCCATACACTGCTGCCATTTCAGAGTCATCAACTTCATAAAGAGAGCAGTACTTACTTCAGTGGCTGAGATTTCCACAGGAGACACCTCTAAATAGGTGGCCCTTCACCTGCATTTGATGTCATCTTGAATGCAGGGAAAGAAAGTTGAGTTGGTTCTTGTTATGGATTGAATGTGACCTCAGAAAAGGTATATGGAAGCCCTAACTAACTACTAGTACCTCCGGATGTGACCTTATTGGAAATAGGATCCTTACAGAAGTGATCAAGTTCAAGTGAGGTCACTAGTGTGGACCCTAACCCAATATGACTGGTGTCCTGATAGAAAGGGGATGTTTGGCTACATGGAGACAGACATGGACAGAGAGAAGACAATGAAAGAAGAAAATGGCGTAGAGTGAATACCAGGTGAAGATGGAGGCAGGGATGGGAGGGATGCATCGCGGAACCAAAGATTCCCTGGAAACCACCAGAAACTAAGGGAGAGGCCTGCAGAGACCTCCCCCCTCCCAGCCTGCAGAAGACACCAACTCTGCCAACACCTTGACTTTGGGCTTCCAGCCCCTCAGCTGTGAGAAGATAAATTTATGTTATTTAAGCCACCTAGTTGTTGGTACTTTGTTATGGCCGTCCTAGGAAACTAATGTAGCTCGTAAAGACTCAAGAGAAGGAGGGCTTCTCAGATCCACACAGTGCAGAGTATTAAAATGCATGGAGGACTCCCAGTTAGAGAGAGTAGATTGAGGGAAAAGACACATATTTACCCCTGCTTCTTCCTGTAATCCCACTGACCAAAAAGTGATTCTTTTTTTTTTTTTTTTTTCAATAGCAGGATTTTAGGCACCTTTATTTTTGGCCTCTGAAATATGTTACTTCAAAGAAGTCAACTCCTCCCCAAGTCCGCACCATCCTCCAATAGCCAGCAGCCTGTCGTTTCTACTGCTCTCAATAGCCCTGAACACACCCTGCATGCAGGCTGCAGCGGGCCCAGGGCCCAGTCCGGGCAGCACACACTCAGGTTACCCTGCAGAACTTGCTGCTGGCCCCTCCCAAGAGCTGCTGCAGCTGGATGACAATTCTGGTGGCTTTATTACAGAATCTGTTTTCCCCATATAATCTATAAATAAGACAAAATATTTCTTAATATTATATATTTGCAATACAAACAAGACTGGTGATATGGGAGATTTAAACCCTACTCTTTTCTGGGTTTGCCTTTATGAAGACCATGGTCACTGCAGTTTTGAATGGCAAATGTTATTAACTCTGTCTTTTATAATCAGTAACAAAAATTATTACTCTGAAAGAATTTAGGTAAGAAATAGTTCAAAAACCTGAGCCTACTACCAGTCATTCATAATTTTCTAGCCAAGTGATTGGCACAGACTTAATATTCTCTCTTCTTTTTCTCTTTTTCAATCAGTAGCTCAAAGAAAGGATGGAATAATTGAGTTTAAAATCGTGCCCCCCCCCTTTTTTTGTGGTAACCATTGTAGATGAACAACTAGAGGCCTACTGAAGTATTAGAATCTCATGCAAAACTCTAACGAATGCCTCATGACATCAGGCTATTCAAGTACATCCTGTATTTAAAAATGCTAACGCAGTACAGTGGCAGTGGTTACTTTTCACTGACTTTAGCATCTGATCTCACAGACTAGTCATAAGTTGTGGTTCAATGGAGTTTTGGCAACAAAGTAGTGACAGACACTTCTGAAATAACAACTTCTAGCCATTTGGAAAGTATCGCCAACACATTATTTGGTGTTAGCACAACAGTCACTTTGTGCTGAAAATGAAAGAATCCAACTCTACAAATGTTTTACTTCACCAAGTCCAACAATAATTGAAGGATTTACTACTTATCTAATAAAAAATTATACAGCAACTTTTATCAAACAGCAACTACTAGAAAAGAATGGCAGGAAAAAAGGACTTCACAAAAATACACTAAAAAGTTTGACAATTTTATGCAGGAACTGCCAAAATTTTAGTGTTTAATAATTAAGAGCACAACTGACCAAGTTTCAAGATGTGAAGATACCATGTTCCAGAAACCGGAGAGAAAAATCACTCTAAAAACTTATTATATGTGATAAGAATGCACTATAATATAAAACCTGTCTACACTTAGTAGTAGTTAGTTGCAAAAAGCCATTCAGTCTTCTCTTGGCTTGGAAAAATGGTGTTCCAGATTTCAGGGTAATTAGCAACCTTCAACTCTTTTGTGTGGCAGGTATCTTGTTTTCTCCTTCCAGTTCTTCCACCTCAGCCTGTGTCATGAGGTCTGCGATGTTTTTCTCCAGATCATCAATGCGACTACTCATATCATCAATTCTTCCAATGATCTGGTCGGACATGGTCTGAAATTTATCTTGCATCTGCTGCAGGAGTGTCTGCACCACCGAGGTGAGGTCCTGCACGGTCTTGGGGTCAGTCTCTGCCATCTCTCCGGTTCCCAGCTTGGCGGCGAGGTCTCAGACTGTCACCCACACTTCCGTTTCCTTTTTTATTTTTGAAATTCATAAATTCAACAAAGACTAAGAAAGGAGAGTCAACCAGTTCTTCCAGCCAACCGAGCTCGGAAAGCAGATGGGCCAGTGATAGTGACTTTGTCAAACTGGAGGAAGCTGAATCTTAACCTAGTAATCAAGAAATCCAAGGAGCCACTTAACCCATAGTACAGGCCTCACCATTCCTGTAGGAAACAGGAAGAAACTTCTCTGAGAAGTTTGATCACGCTAAGGGGAAAGACTTAGGACCCGGACACCAGGGGCCTCCTAATGAACAGTCCTCATCACCTGACTGTGGAGGGGCCTGTTGAATTCCAGCCACACATCCTTAGGGCTTCCAGGGACCTTTTGAAAGTCACACTCTTAGGATTTGGTAGCATAGGATCTCTATATTATTATTATTTTTTCTAAACCTTTATTTTATTTATTTATTTTTATGTGGTGCTGAGAATTGAACCCAGAGCCTCACACATGCTAGGTGAGCTCTCTACCACTGAGCCACAACCCCAGCCCAGGCTCTCTATATTATAAAGACATTTTCTTACATGTGTGAGAGAGACCAAAACAACAGATACAAGACTTTTGCAATAAACAGTCTGCAGTAGGAAAAAGTGTGAAAACCAGCTATTTATAATATTCTCAGAGGTAAAAGAAGACATTTCATTCATGAGACAAGAAAAATGCTATGAATCCAAAACTATTGGAATTTTAAAAAGAGAGACAAAATTAAAAGCTCAATAGAAAGGGTAGGAGAAAAATTTGATAAATTTTCTCAAAAGGTAGAAGAGAAAGTCTGGTGATAGACGATAGGAGAATCCATATAAGAAAGTTATAGAACCAGTGCAGGAGGTCCAATACCCAAATAGTAAAAGTCAAAGAAAGAGAGAACAAGGACAGTAAAGAAGACTACATCATTTAAGAAACAATTTGAGACTTTTTCAGAATTAAAAACTCAAGTATCCAAATTGAGAAGTCCCGTTGAGTGTCAAACATGGCACATCATAAAATTTCAGAACACTGGGGATGAAGAAAGATTTAAAAAACTTTTAGAGACAAAATCCAGGCTCTCATTTCCCAATCATTTCACCTCTAAACTTTCTTGCATTTTCTCACACATGAGCTTTGAGGGGGACACCTCATAACCAAACCATAACAATGGTAAAGGGAAATTTCAAGATCACAGTTGCACTGGATTTAGGCAGTAAATCAGACCGTTGGAGAAGATCAGAAGACTAGGAGAAAAATATTCAAGAATGTAAAAATGATACACTTCCTAATGATTCTGAACATATTGAGAAGAGATTTCTGTATATAGTTGAATTAATGACAAGAATATAGAAAACTAAGCAGATGAAAGACCAAGACCATGTTAAAACTCCATGGAAAAGAAAATGTATTAGAAAATATAAGTAATCATAGCCTACAAACCTAAGGAATAAGTTGTGGATAGTATTTATGGATCATAATAATGTAAACATTGAGTTTATTGAATTTAACTAAAAATGAATGAACTTCATTGGGAGGTTGGGAATAGGAAGTAGGTGTGTGTGGAGGGGTTGGAAAGAATGGTGGAAAAGTCCAAGTAACACGCAGTGTCAGTGCATTACTTCAGATAGGGATGAAAGCCCAAGACCAAAGCATCTTAAAGTTGAAAGTAGTTTTCTTTGCATGGTGAAATGGGGCTGTGGGTATAACTGCTCTTTTTCATACCAGTCTTATAAGTTGCTTGGATTCTTGAAACTATACATATAAAAGCAAGTCCTAAAGCCAAGGATATAAGAAATAAGAAGAAATGTAAGGCCATTTGGATATATTAGTTTATATCTTCTCTCTCCCACAGTAGAAACCCAGTAGAGAACAATGTTAGCAAGAACACCTTGATCTTCAGGCTTTAGGAATAAAGAATTTTAGAACCTTAAAAAGCCTAACTCATGGAACCATAAAAGTTTGAAATCTTTTATTCATAGAATCTGTTTTTTCCTTTGCTGTGTTGGGGAACAAATACCTGGAGCACAGGTAAGTGCTCCATCAGTGACCTACATCCCTAGTCCTTAACTCCTTCTTTAAACCTCAACTCAGGTGTCATTTCCTCCGGGAAATATTTACCAGCTCCTCCCCACATCCCAAGATACCTGCATTTCCAGCTATCCCAGCCCTCAGAAGCCTACAGTTCAGGATATTTGGTTGTCCTCCTCCTCTATTGATGGCAAAGTATGCAACTTAAGCATTTCCAGGTAAAGACGGTCAGCTCAGATTTGAACATGATTGTTCAGGATCACCCTCTCAATTCCCACCGTCTCCCTGAGTGGCATCAAGTCGGAGGAGTGGTAGATACCTTGGCTTCATGGTAAGCTCCTGATCTCTGGTTACAAGTCCGTGCTGGCATCTGAGAGGTGTGCCTTCGACCTCTAGTTCAGTTTCTGGCATTGATCCTAGTGGCACCTGCTGAGATGTCTGTGTTATTGGTCCAGGTCTTTCTTGTCTTGACCACAAGACCCTCCTTGTCTGCTGTCCCTCCTCAGCCATGCCCTTTAGCCCCTTGGCTGTACTCCTGAGCCTTGGCAAGGCTGACGCAGACTTGGGGAAGTGATGTAGGTACTGTTGGCTCAAACATCTCCAACGGCCATTTTTCTTTCATTGTCCTATGTTGGGGCTGTGAAACACTTAGGGACTTCACTTACCTTGCTGAACCTTAGCTGGGAGTGACAGACATTCCTTCTCCTACACATTCCTAAAACTAATCTGTATAATTTTCTATTTTTGCCTAATGACGTTTACCACAAATGCAGAGGCTTTGCTATCTCACGGTTTCCACAGGTTAGGAGTCTGGTCACTGCTTAGCTGAGTCTATTATAAGGCTCTAGTCAAGATTTCGGCCAGGACTGAGTTCTCATCTGGGCCTCAACTGAGGAGAGATCTTCCAAGCTTATATAACGGTTAGCGGCATTTAGTTCCTTGGAGGCTGCCAGATCGAGGTCCTCATTTTCCTGTTGTCATTTGGGGACTACTCTCAGTTCCTTGCCACAAAAACTCATAATATGTCAGTTGGCTTTTTGTAGCCAACAAGATATTTTTTTTTCTTGTCAATGGACACTACAATCATAGCAGCATAATCACATATATGTAATCATATTCTGTTGGAAAGTCTAAGAGTCCATCCATACTCAAGAGGAGGGGATTATGTGAAAGCATGGACACCAGGAAGAGGGATACCATAGAGTCTGCTACAGGCCTGTCTCCTGGACCTAGTGTACCCACCTGGGGTGGGGGACAGAACCTCCACTTTTGTATTCCTTTTTTTTTTTTAAATTTCTCTGATTCCTCATGGCCAATGAAGTCTTTTTTTTTGGGAAATGACTTGCTCTTCCTCCAGTTATGTTCTACTGTTTGTACAAAGCTGCCTTTTTTTTGTACTCAGAAACCAGGGTTTTGAGATTTTACAATATTTTTTTTTCTGCCAGAAGTTCCAAAATTTAAAAACTTGAAATTCACTTTTTCATTTTTTAGTTTTTCCTTCCTTTCCAATCCAGTAAGTCCAGACTGTCCTACCTGCTGCCTGAGCAGTGGGAAAAGGTCATGGGCAAAGGTGAATGACTGGGAATAACATCACTGTGCCTTGCTGTGTCACCCGCTGAAATGACCCAGGTGTTAGTCCCGGCTGTACACTACCAGCTCCTTGCTCTTGGGCAAATCTCTTATTTCCTATGAGCCTCAGTTTCTTTCCCTTTGAAATAGGGATACAATATCTATTCTTATGTTGTGAGAATAAGTAGTCATAAAGTTGTTCAAAACAACTTTGTAAGTTTTAAAGTACCATATGGGTATGTGTTATTATAGTTACTGATTCTCTGTTGGGTGGTTGAAATTGGCCAAAGTGCACACATTGCCACTCTAATGGCCATTAGAGATGGCGCTCTATTCTGATGAGTCTTCTTTGCATTCCTGGAATTGGCTGAGAGGTCCAGCACTTCTGCTGCAGGTTAAATGTGTGATAGCAGATGCTGACTGCAGACTCATTGCTGTGTCAAACTCTGATTTGACTTGAGACTTGACCAAATCAGTGTCACAATGCTAGATGTGTTCAGATGCCTCTGGTAAATCATACAGGTGCCATGAATGAACAGTTAGACTCCCAAACCCAGGCTTATCCACCCCTGGGACTGTTATTCCAAGAAGCCATTTAGACAGAGTTTATTCATTCCCTGCACAATGTTCTTTCCATCACAACAGCATCATAACACATCCAGTTCTTGATCCCAGGCTTTGTGCAGGGAGAGTTATATTATGCACAGACTTGCAGAAAAATTTTCTTCACTTTTGACTCAAACAATATTATTTTTAGTAAGAATTTATGAAGGCCCTGCTGTCATGGGGTGGTACGGACAACATAGATAGGCTATAAAATTCCTTTAACTTTCTCCTGGAAATCTCATCTTCTGTTGCTTAGTAGCTCATCTTTTTCTAGAAGGAAAAATTGATGCACATTGCAGAACTGGCTGAAGGACTATAAAATGGGGGAAGCAGATGAATGAAATTAGGACCCTCGGATGGTAGAGGACCTTCCAGACAGGACTGTCTCATTTTGGTCACAGAGGTTTTGAATTTGCTCTCCTGGAAGTTGATAGAAAGATATTTGTTCTCCTCAGTGGGACCTTTTCACACATCTTTCTTTGAAGCAGGCTGTCTTGAACACTTCTTGCCACAGTAAATGGCAGTACTAAATATTGACAGCGGAGTGGCTGAGGGTTCACGTTGACTTGGGAAAAAAGAAAGAGAGAAGGTGCTCATTGGTCCTAAATGGTGGTGGATCAACTTAGGACTCAAGCTTTGGTGGACAAAGGGACAGAATAAGCCACAGGAGCCAGATCAAGAAGCCCAGCCTGCGTGACTGCAGAGAAGGGATGTGGGAATAGGGTGCCAGTGTCTGTGAGGCTTCACAGCCCGAGGGACATAGATGGGTGATGGGACTCCCAGCCTGGGA